TGTCGTAATACCCAAATAAACAGCTTGCCAAACTTACCAACCTATAATACTCCAATAAAGAGCTTACCAACTTTACCAACCTCTTTAACTAAACTGAACTGCGAAAATACTCGGATAACTAGATTACCAAATTTATCTGATTCCTTAACAAATCTCAAACCTAAATATTTAAGAACTCAATATAATAATTGTGTAATACATTAAAAATATCATCATTTTAAAGAAATTTATTTATATATTTTCCTTCATATTCTATTCATATATTCGCATATTAAATAATTATTTTTTTTTTAAAAAAATTTATTTACAAATTTATTAAATTATTACATGATTTCGTCTATATATATATATAATTTAGCATGTTGGAAAAAATCATTTACTTTTATATTCCAAATATGATTTTTAGGTCAAAATATGTTCAGATTTAATATTAACTCATTTTTATTTTTTCAAATCATTTCCTTTTCTATTGCAAAGGTCCTATATATTTTTTTTTATCTTTAAATTTTAAACTTATTAAAATAAATTAAATTAAATTAATAAATTAAAATTTTTATATAATATAATTTCAAATAAAATATATAGTAGGTGTCAAAAAAAAACGCGTGATTAGTTACTTTTAAAAGGCTATATAACTCATCAGCTATAAATGCTAAAATCATGATCTTATACTTGTTTTAAAGTTCAATCTTGAAGAATATCCTGGCAAAATTTAGTATAAAGTTAATAATACCAATTTTGTATAACTTAATGATCTATATCAAAATTTCTTATATAGTAAATTTAAGTGTAGAAAATTTTTTAAGAAGACTAGCTATTATAAACTAATACTGAATTCTGATTTTTCTTTATGTGATGATTTTAACAAGCTAAAATTTATTGAAATCAGGTTAGCTTTTTTTATTTAAAGTCATAATAATGCATTTTATTTATTTATAAAATTCAATTCTATAAAAAATTTTAAAAAAAATAATCTATTATACTATAATAATAATGTATAATAAAGATATTATCAACATATAATAACTAATTATTATTATATCCTTCTCTTTCTTTAATAAATTTACACTAAATATAATTTTATTACAAAAATAAGTAACCTAAATTACTATTAAACTTAAAAAGAATGACTTTAACAAGTTCATAATTAAGTTGCTTGATTAATTTTAAGTTATAATACCTTATAATTTAAAAGCATTTATATCACTAAGTTTATTAGTGGCTTTTTAGAGTCTTTATTTCCACACTAAGATATCTATTATTCAAATTATAATTAATAGCTAATATTATGAGACCTAAATTATGCAGTTGTAAGAATCCAGAAAATTTTACTATATTAATAAACTATATAATGTTAAAGATCTTTAAAAGAGTATAATTATTTAGTAAGATTATTAGTGTAAAGATTTTAAATGTCTAAAGTTTATCAAATTTAATTGTTAGTTTAGATACCTTTTGATATTCACTATTTGTAAATAAATACAAGGAAAGGAAAATAAACAAGAAAAATAGCTGAGAAAAATAATGAAAAATATATTTTAACAAAAAAAATATCACTGTTTAAACTAACAATAGAATATTTTTTCAAATTTTCAATGATGCTAATTTTGAATAACATTATTAAAAAATTATTCAATATCACATCTGATTAAATTATTTTATACAAAAATAAGCAGAAAAATAAGTAAAGTTATAAAAATTAACATAATATATAAAAGTCTAGATTTTAAGTTAAATATCTATTTTCAGTCATATTGGATGATAATTGATTTTCTGTTATTTTATTTTTATTGTATCATATAATGCTTTATAAGATATTTTTTAATATTATTATTCTGTAATAATTTTTTTTTATTCCTTAATTTAATTAATTAACAATTGAAAATTTTGTTTTTTAAAATAGTTAAATAATTATTCTTATTCTTGTTAATGTATAATGATAGTAATAAGGATCATTAAATCATTAAATCATATATTTGTCATAGATATTTTTTGTTTTGACAATTTAAAATTTTGATAGTCCAATCATGTAAACAATAAACAATAATCTAATAATAGGAATATTATTATAAATAGTTTTTTTTTATATTATTTTATTACTTTTTTTAGCATTAATTAATGTCAATTATTATTTTTTTTTATTTTAAAAAAAAAGCCATACAATCTCATTAACACTTTGTCTTTTTTGTTTATTAAAAAAAAATAATCTCATTCTATTTTTTATTGATAAATTACTAAAGCTTATTAATCTTATCTAATTTAACATTATGTAATTTCTCAGTAAACAATGACGTACTTACAAACTTCCAGGTGATGTTTATTTATTTAATTATAATTATTTATTATTATTTTTTTTTAAAAAAAAAAAAAATAGTCAATATGCTATTTCCAAAAATTGACTATTCACAAAATGATTTTTTTCAGATAAATTCACCTGCCTTTTGTTAAAGCTGAATGTTGACCCAAGCATAAAGCATAAGCCTATACATAAGCATAAAGCTATGCTATAAGAACCTCAGAAGTTAAACCTTATTTAGTAATCAAACTAACCAAATATTGAATTTCTTGGTTGGTATAATCATCCGATTATAATTAAGCATTTAGTACACATTTTACATTGTTCATTTTATTATGCTATCTATGCTAAAAATTCCGTATAATTTCAATATATTTTAATTTTAAAAATATGCAAAAATCAATTTATTATTAAATATACGGAATTGTGATACATTATTACTAAAAACATGTCATTTCCATATATAATTTTTTATAGAGTTGATGTACAGTAGATCGATAAGTTATAAAAAATTGGTAATTTTTTTTTCAATAAAATATTTTTTTTAACATTAAAATAAAATAATAAATAAACAACCAAAAAATTCGACCGACATATTCAATTTTAAAATTTACTATTCGATTAATTTAAGCGATATAATAAAATCATAAAAAACTGACCGCCCATAATTGAACAGGCCTAAGTGGCGAGGCACGCGTTATCAAAAAAGAATACAAAAAGGCGGAAGTAAGTATTGAATTAATACATTTGTGAATTCTCCAAATAATATTATTTCCATCACCAGGATTAACATTAAAAAAAAAAAAAAAGAAATCCTACTTTTTAAGAAAAAATCATTTTAATAATCAATTTGCCTGTTTTCGATGTCATCAGGGAAATTTTGCGTAAATCGCCTTGTTCATTTTTTTATAATTCTTCATAAATATAGTCTCTAGAAAAATTCTCTTGATTCAAAGAAGAATAGAACTTGTGCACAAAAACAAAAGGGTTTGATTTAATCTTCTTTTTTCCCTAAATTTCACAATAGTTTCGGTATCAAAAACTAGGCTCGTTGCTAAGATCGAAATCCTAGATATGGAACATTCAATAAGTGGATTTTGACAAGTATTTGGATGAAGATTGAGTATCTAAGAATTGGTCTATGTTGGGAAGGATCGAAATCTTATCTGACGGGCTACTTTATTTGTAAAATATTATAACGATTTAAATTTAGAAAAAAAGTAAAAAATTTATTGCTAATAAAAATATAATTTCGTTATTGCAAATAAAGTATGTATAATTTGAATAAATTTTTTTTTGATAAACCAAATTCGTACTCAATCACCGGCATCTCATGCCGGACACTCCTACAATTATTTCTCCATGCAAATTAATTAAAGAATTCATTTTTATTAGTATATACAATCGTATAATTTGAGTTGATTATTCGATTGAAAATTTTTAATTCGCTATTCTTACGAGAAATTTATACAAAAACAAAGTATGGCTTTGATGGATAGGTTCAATAATTATTGAAGGGCAGTAGCCGTTATATCGGAGTTGTTTGAACTTTCTTGTGCTCATCTTCGAATGTATGCTCATTTTTGGTATTTTACAAGGGCCAAAATCATTTCAAGCAAAGGTCTTTTTCATTTTTGTAACCATCCGCCATATCATAAATAAGAGGATTAAGGTCCTTATTTTGTAGTATATCGTTATAAAAGATGTCTAGCGGCCCAATACCAGTCATGTGGACGATCATTTAAGACAACTGGATTTTGCCGAAAAATGTTAAATTTCGTGCAGTGCAGATGTTGATAGGGGCTCAATTTTAAATAATTCTTGGTCTCGAATTTTTTTTGCTTGATGGAATTACTACAGCGCGCTATCAAAAAGTTTAATTATAACACAAAGACTTACGGTATTAACAAATACTTGAAGTGATTTGTCATAAATACATTGTGCAACCATATTCCCTTGATATTTACTTCGTGTAAAAATAAGAAGATTTTTGGAATATATTTTTTATCCTTTACTAAATACTTTTTATAAAGTTTTAATTTAATTGGATTGCAATCTTCAAAAACGCCTCGATTACAATTTCGTGTTTTTTTGTGAAAGAATAACTATCAACAGAAATTTTGATAATTTATTTATAAGTAGGAATTTATTTTAACAATAATTATATAAAAAAATAATTCAGTTATTTTAACATATCTTTAAAAATCTGAGTTATCATGTTCTAAACGCGTTTTATATAATTTTCTTTGACAATTCCATAAATTTTTCTTCTTTTACAAAATTTAAAAGCTAATTTTACATTTGGATCCAACTTATTTTCTAAATTTTTTGTTCTTAATCAATTTTACTCTTCACATTAATAATTTTCATATACGGTATCTTTACAGAGCAAATTTTCCTGTAACATATAAACGATTAAATACCTCGGAAAAGGTGATGACGTTACATTTATAACGCGAGGCATATCGATACATGGTTTAAATGAACCATACACAATTTATTCGAGCCTGTAACACAATGAATCTAGTTAGGCAAAATATCAATTACTTGAATATCTTTTTAAAGTTTTGAGTAATAATATTTTTTTTATTGTATTATTTTAATAGGCTTAACAACTTAATTCGCATGTGTATTAGTTAATGGGAAATAAAAGATTACGCACCTAAAATAATTAAAAGTAATTTGATCTTTAATCGAAACATCATTACCAATTCGCGGAATAATCACCACATTTAAATTCTTTAATCACTCCATCATCTATGTGCTTATTTATGATTTTTATATATTCTTCTTTTTTATATGAAGAATCTGAAGTAAAGATCGAAAGTGGAGTTCGACCTCTCCAATCACCTAAAAAAGCATCTAAGGTTTCCAATGAAAATTTAATCCCACAACTAGATGAATATTTCCATAATCTAATTTCTCTTAAATTAACTGGTGCTGATTTTATTAATAGTCTTGATAATTCTTCTCCTATTTCAAGACTTGCCTCCTCCTTCGATTTTACACCGTGATAATAACAATCGATTCTTATTAATAACGCCTTCAATTTTAAACATGTTTTTAGTAATTTTTCGAATTCGGCGAAATGAATTGTTGATATTAGAAATGCGAGTGACAAATATTCGACCAAAGGACAATATTCATAAACCGTACGGATAAGGAGAAGTGAATCCTGATCATAATTATCCTCCGTATCATATCCATCGACTAAAATTTCCCTGAGATGCCCTTTGCGGCTTTTAATCACGCAAATGGTTGAGCTGATGGGAATATAATTTACATGAAGGGTTCTAAGATTTTGATAACATGAATTTTGAATTTGATTTTCAAATTCAAGGTAATACATTTTAATTTTTAACATTTTTAAGTTATGAAATTTTGAAAAGTTTATCGGTATCGGTGGTGGTTCCGGTCGTGATTCTCCTTCATAAATATTATAATCTTCAAAGTTCGTCACCAAATAATTCAGGGTATTTGCCTTTTTCTCTAACGTTAAAAAAATTACTTCATATAATTCCTTCATTATGGTTTCAGTATCATCATCAGTCCATATTGAATCATTCCATTCAAAATATTTTAAATTCTTCTGTACCTCAATCAACTTGACAATTCCATCATTGGCTTTGTCTTTTTTGTTGTTAATGATAAGCCTTTGTATCGATTGACAGATACGTGCTAATTCATAAAAATACGTTGGATTAGTGTGATCATTACCACATGTGATTTCGATTTCACAAAGAGAATCAAGACATGTCTTGCCTTCTGTTAAATAAAATAGTTGATTATTAAATGATCTCATATTAAAATGCTTTAATTTTGTACATTTTCTCATAAAGAATCCGTAAATTTCTTGTTGTAAATGAAATTGTTTATAAGTTGAGGAAGAACAACCGATAGAAATTATTTGGTTTATGACATCTATATTAATACTCTTACAGAAGCGCAGATAATCGAACAAAAGTGATTTATGTGAAATTGGAGGTAAATAGACTCCCTTACTGGTTAGATATAACTTGATATCATTGGATAAAGAGGAGGTAATAACGTAATATAAAGAAGTTTTGGTTTTATAATCTATTTCTTCTTCAAAACGCCAGGGATTCTCCCATAAAAGCGGAACCATGGTTCTACACCAAAATCTATTAACTAATAGGCATGAAAAGAGAGACTTTGAGTCATCTTGTAATTCTTCATATAACAAGAAAAGAATATCTTTATATAGATTGGACATGTTTAAAAAAGAAATCGTGGTGCTTAAAAACTGACTGATTTATTTAGTAATCTAAAAAAGATAGGAAGAAAAGCAAGGAAAACCTCCCATTAAATATTTAAAATTTTTATGTGAGACACTATTTTAATTGCACATCCAATAGAATTGATGACCAAAGTATAGTCATGTATGGTCATGAATGGTCATGAAGAATATATATGGAGAACTGGTTACGCATTATTACCGATTTCGAGAAATAAACATAATAGCTGTCATTATTTGTCGGAGAAATCTGTTTTTTGGCGCATGGAGGTCGATTTTTATTTTTACAAAAATGAATTCTTTGGGCAAATTATTTTTTTTTTTTTCGTTGTACGTAAATTCGTGTAACGAAGATTTTTTTTTTTTTTTTTTTTTGCTTGTAGATAAAGAAAGCCTTTGGTTTAATTCTGGAGTTTGTTAACATTTAAAAATTTCCCCTCTTTTTATCACTTTAGAAAAAAATTATAATCAAAAAATAAAATAAAAATAATAATTTTGTAAAAATTTTTCTTTTACACTTCTATTCGACAAGAATTAATTAACGTTAAGTATCGAATTATATTATTTACGACGACGGACATGAATCAGGACAGAAACCGATAAATCTGTTACAAAGGATGAAAGATCAGAAGCGATAAAAGTATAACAAAAATTATGATTATTACAAAATTCTTTCGAAAGAAAGAAAAGATTATGTAATAATAGCAACCAATAATGTTTGGCAACTTTATATTGTAAAATCGAAATTTCAAAGAGGACATCAGGAATCATGACGTTGATAGTTTAATCCAACTCCCCTGATCATGAACTTGAGTGGATACCATATGATAAGTTACATATATAACTAGGGGGTTATGATAGATGGAATGAAAATAACCTAGAATTAAAAACCTTAAAAGGTTGGAAAATGTTAAACTTGCTAACAAAAGGAGGTAGGTGTAAGTTAAAACATTTATAAATTTATTTAAACGTAATTTATCTTCAATGTAAATAAATGAATAAATAAATTTGTGGGAAATCGCGAGGATGTCTATGATCTTGCAACAAAAGTAATAAACGGAATAAGATCAAAAATAGTATCAAACATTTTTTTAGAATACAAGAAATTAATGGAAGAGTGTTTGAACGTGGTTCATAATAAAATATATGATCAAAAATTAAATGGAAATAAAAAAAATTCTTTAGAAATTTTTAATTAAGTCAACCAAAAAACAGAAATAAATAAAGCATGTAATATAAAAATAATTCTTAGAGCTGCAGTAAATTTATAAGTATAGTTTATAAATTCTTTTTCTGATATTTGATTGGAACGAGGCAATTCTTCTCTTACGAAAAATCAAATGTTAAACGTATGTCTAAAATGATAAAGCGATTATCAATTTACCTTATATCCTTTTGTCCCATCAGGTATTTAACTTGACTTTCCACTAGTAGTAACGCTCTTTTTAGACAATGGACAATCTCAATCGCATTCCCTTTACCCCGCCTCGTTACCGATAATGCTCAACAAACATTATTGGTGGATTATACGTCAATTCCCCAAATGAATACGCAAGAGTAATACGACGTCAATTTAGAGTTAGTGAAATGCGAAATCTTGATTATTTAGCAAAATAATTTATCAAGATAAAGTGGATCACGTTTATACTAAGTGTCCTCATGAAATCGGTTGTAAACTTTGCATAATCGTTTTGAAACGACCTAACGATCTGGCTTTTGTTTTGTTTGTTCGATTACATTAATTGTAACTTTAATTTAGTATCTAAAAAAAAAAAATTATTCATTCTAATAAAGTTACGTTATTTTTTTCACCGAATTACCGTAGAATTTTAATATTCATAATTATTCATCATTTTATCATTTAACCGTTATTATATCACGTGATTTCAACATAATCTTTATTTTTCTAGGGAGGCCTGAGGCATATCCATCTCCACTGCTAATACACGCCGTTGTCTAAAACTTTTGGAAGCGAATCAACTATAAAGAATTTAGAGCAAAAAATTTTTAAAAAAGAAATCATTCATCAAATAAAACAAAATAAAAAAAATAATAATAATAAAAAAACTTTACCTTGCCGAAAGAAAAAAAAATTTATTGATAAGATAAAATTAAAAATAAAACTTATGTGGCCAACTAGCACCGAATGCGTCAAAATTTTCAAAATTACCTTTGAAAAGTTTTGTATTAAATTTTTTTTGTCCTATTGTTTATAAAAAAAAAAAATAATAAATAAAATAAATGTAATTATTTGTAGGCGGAATTTCGGTATCGGGGCGCAGCTCCGAATCGTAAGTTTTTAAAAAATAATCAGCCTTCTGCGCCTTTTTATTAATTTTAGGCGGCAGCGCAAGTATTTGTATATGGATAAAATTGACAGAAACGTCTAAACTATATTTGGAAATATCTATAAAACTGAAAATTTTGGTTAGTATTGATCGTATTTGGAAAATCAAACCTTTCCAAATAAAGTTAAGCAACGTGCCAAAGGTTCAGCGTAGATGCAGGAATTCCTTTCTTTTTTTTTTTTTTTTTTAAAAAAAAAAGACGTTGGGGATACTTGGTGTTACACAACACATCAAATGACATTTGCTGCGTCAATATAATTTTAATTTTTGCGCTATTTTTTAATTTCTGTTTGTATAGTAAATTATTATACAGTATTTCCTAAAAATATTATGTTGTAATTGAAAAAGAAGAAAATTCGGGTATAAACTTTTTCGTGTCGTTTCGTTCTGTTCCGCGTCTATGATTTTTAATTAGGATAATCCCTAGGAATGACAAGATAATTTGAAGGTTATTAGAATTTTTGTCAAAAAATCTCAACCATATTTTCCTAAAAATTATCTACGTCTTCGAAATAGAATTTACTTAGCAAAATGAATAGTATGCTAATAAACTTGTATAAAGTTTGCCCAACCTTAATATTTGGTTAGTTTAGTTTAGTTGTTTCTGATGTTCTTTATAACATGGTATTTATATACAATAAACCTTTTTCAATGGATAGACACACTATAAGAAATATAATTAAGCATGATACATAAAATGAAATCATATTATTTATATAATCTCCTGAAAAGTGGTTGTAAAAAAAAAATTCGAGAAATTTTAGTACTAAAAGGAATTAGTAATCCCATTAATCCTGAAAGTCAAAATAAGGATGAGATTATACAATATAAGCGAAAAAAAAAAGAAAAAAATACCTGTCATGTCATGTCGTGACAATGCAATTGCACTAGTAAGAGCTCGCAAACTAAAGGTTAAATTACTTCGTATGGCCCGTCTTACAACATGTATAAACATAATACGATAACAACTATCAAAAATCCTGTGATATCTTGACACGTAACTTTGATACTTAAACAAAAAAGTTGCATACGATATACGTTATTAGTTTGTCGGTGTGACAGGATTATGTGAGTAATCATCATATCATCAAAAAATTTCTTGAATAGGTGTAGCTCGGAAATATCTTTTTTTGCAGTTTTCGGCAATTGTTATAATGTCTCGTTTATTTTGAAAAGAAAAAAAATATTCCAAGCATATATTAGACAGAATTCGTGGTTGATAAACGAAATGTCCGTAGTTTATTTCGCATCAATTAAGATTTCTGAATATATAAATGCAGCTCGGTTTATATTTTACAAATCTGTATTCTCAATTTTTTTAAAAATTTTCCATCCCAAAAATTCAAAAAAGAAAAGAAAGCTCTCCCTCTCTATTACAACTTTTTAACGTTTTTTTTTTCAGAATAAACATCCAAACTAGTGAAACGAACTTTACTGATTGGTCGTAGATCCGGTTTGCTCTTTGGAACTAAAATACATTTAGCCAAGTATATTTTTATCGATATACACCTTCAACGACTTATTATGTTCACGAAAGGGATAATGACAGTGATAATTATGAAATCTTATTAAAGAAAATTTTCGTGGTAGCAGTACTTAAATAAAAAGGTAAGCTTCATACACCTAATGCGTTAATTATTCAAGGATTTTCTAGATATACTTTGATTGATGCCCATGCGTAATCGGGTTTCATTTATTAGGTTTTTATTGGCAAGAACATACAATGTCAACAGCATTTCACCATTCACACATACCATTCGTGGATAATTCAAAATTAATATAGTCAAACTTTACGATGTATAAATACACGTCTTATGATGCGAAATTTAATGCTTTTTATTTTATAACATTAAATCTTTGAAATAGATAATTATTATGTAAAAACATTGTCAAATCAATTTGGCGAAAATCCGAGGTTATCTGATAGTCAGTAAAATATCGATATAAAAAATTCTGCTGAGACTTTATAAAATTTTTTTATTTATCGTGAAGGAAATAAATTGACCAAAATAAGGTATTCCTATCATTTGTTATATATAATACTAGATATCACTCACGGTGAGGGATCCCTTCTGTAACAACGTACTCCTATTATTGCAGCTATAATAGTTGAAATTCCTCCAAGAACACCTCCAATAATTGAACCACAAGCTTCATCACAACCACTAGAAGAAGTAGTCTTTTCAGACTGATGTGAGATGGGAACGGAAGGAAAGTACTCAGGATAGCAAATTTGACCGCTGAAGGAAGGAGTAGAGCAACTAATATTGTTAAAATCTTGACTTTTTGCTTGCATACGGAATATGGTGTTGTCTATAACGTCCTTGCCGATGATTATTTCATTGTTCAGACTGTCATTAGTAATTGTGCGCCAATCGAACGATATCGGATTTTCACTCTTAGGCATCACATGAATCCCAAGAGATGACGAGCCGCAAGGCATCCTAAATGAAGGATTTTCACACATCAGTACATTAAGGCATTAAAAACGAAAAAAAAAGTAAGCAATGTGTTATGTACTTTGCCAGCCTGAAAGAGATATTTCCTCCGCTCATGTGGTAGAATGTACGGTAGTCTGTGATACTGCCGTCATTTTTCACATTCAAATCGTTGATATTATCACATACACCATTTGAGTAATGAAAGAATAGCAAACTAACGAGAGTTATAAGTAGGAAGATTCTTGAAATATTCATGGATTATTGAGTAAGCATAAAAAAAAAAAAAAAAAAAAAAAAAAAAAAAAATAAGTAATCGGCAAACTCGGTCTTTATATACCATTCTCATTCTTTTTTGATTTTCTATTTTAGTTATAATAAAGTTTCATGTGAAAGAACGTTATTTTTGAATGGGTTATATTATTGCCAGAAAATTAATTAGTCATTCTCAAAAGATTTGAGTTACGACGGTAATCTCCGTAAATTTTCATTGCAACTGCAGTCATACCAATCGAAAGACTATCAATCACAAGACATTAATCGTTTTCGTGTTAAAATGAAATTGTGTAACAACTCGGAGCAACTCAATTAAGTAATTTAATGATCCGAATATCATTTAAGTTGTCAACATTGATTAATCAAAATAACATTTTTATTTCTTTTTGTATACGTTCTATATATTAAATTTGCAATGTATTTATATAATGGATAAAGTGATTTCGAAATGATAATTGTTCGGGATTAGAATTCGTGATTATGTACCTTCGGGAGGGTTTTGAGCGGCATTCGTTTTATAATACCAAACAAAGATTATCTCTTCATAGAAAAAAAAATTTTTTTTTGTATTACAAATCATTTAAAATATACAACTCAAAAAAAAAAAATAATAATTCCATAATTACAAATTTAATTAAAATTTATCAATAAATATAACAATATATTTTGAGAAACGAATTGTTGTTGCGAGCTCTAAAAAAAAGTTTGACTCAAAAGGAAAACTACTGGAAGAACAATTCAAAATTTATTTAAACCTAGTGATTGGTTGAAAAAAAAAAAAAAAATAAGAAAATTAATAATTCATTTTAGCCGGGGGGTAAGTGATACAAACACCCGGGTATTTTACATAGTGGTCACACAATTGATTTCACCATTATTTATACATATAAAGTAAGGGTCTTTTACAAATTTTCGATTCAAAACCTTAGGAGGGTATTTTGCATGGGTGGGTGGTTAAGTCAGCGCTCTACGGTATATAAATTAATACAATATTAGAAGGAAGGAATTGATTCAAAAATAAATAAAACCATATCGGATTAATTTGGTCAATTTTCATTTGCCATTACTTTTGTTATTCATCATCACACCAGTTTAACTCTATGAAGCATTAATTATAAATAATAGAAAAGAATAAGATAGTTTAGAACAAACCATTCTATTAGGGCGTCACCAAATCCTTTTGTCAATGTAATCGTTTTGTAATTAGATAAAGTAAAATAAATCTTTTTTTAATATAATACGCATTAAAAAAAATTCGTTATTGTGTCGATAAATCTTACCAAGAACACTAATTATAACATCCAATTTTACATCCGAAAAATGAATATTATTTTTAATTTTTTTTTATTTGAGAAATTATATCGAATTGATATATAAGTGGTATTGTGATTAATTGAAGAAATATTTTTTAATACAATTTATTTTATAACTTTTTATCTTTTATATTGGTATTGGTTCGAAATACTGAATCTCAAAAAAAAAAAAAAAAAAAATTAATGATCCAGACATTGAAACAGAGGGAATTAAAAAAGGCCGGCCAAACTCTAAACGTGAACTAACTGGGTCTGGAATTAATTGTGTCATTCTCAAAGTTATTGATGATGATGTAATTAAGTGAGGAATAAAATTTTATTGATCAACTGGAAATTTAATTAGTCTTGGGGCTAGAATTATAGACTCTTCAAATTAATAAAAGTTACTATTTTACATTTTCAAATTTCTTTTTGTCTTCATTATAGGATTGATCGTGATAATCAACTACACAAGTGAATCGTGATAACAAATTGTTTTGTTTTTTAAACATTTATTTCTCTTAGGAAAGGCCTTCGAGATAATTGAGATATTGAGTTATTTAGTTTGTTAGCTTAGTTTCGGTACAATTTCAGGTCTAACAGCGGCAAATTTTTAACTATGAAAAATAGTTATTGTAGTTAATATAACTTTATTTTTTTGAATTACATTTTCTTATAAAAAATTTTATTTTTCTTTTCATAAAAAAAAATCAATTTTTTTTCCTATGGTTTAATAACGAGTGATGCGGATATTATTTTTTTAAAACGAAGATTTTTTTATGATTAATGTAACCTTTTGTTTTTTATATGATATGACTATATATAGGAGAATGGTTTATATCACACTTTGTCGATATATTGAACAAAAGAAAGAGTATATATATATATTATATCGATCAGATATGTTTATTTTAGCTTTCAAATGTTCTTTTTATTAAATTATTTTTGTAAAAAAAAAAAAAAATCCAAGAAAATTCGAATGGATTAAATTAAAGTTATATTAAATACAAGGATAAATAAATAACATGTAGGACTTTTCATTAACGTAACTTTAATTTCAAAGAATTGTACTTGAACTTGTTCCACGATTTACCACAGCAACAGACGAAACTTCAGTTACGCGTTTCATTACAAATAAAAATTCATTTACTTGGGAATAATGATGTCTGTGGGATTCAAAAAACAAAAGTCAAAACCTTTGAAAATTATAGATTCGCGTTTCAAATATTTAATTATTACTTCTTAAATCCATTATTGGTGTATTTTTAATTAAGATCCGCCAAAATTAATTATAATTTCTGCCGCATGTTGCCAGTCAGAATTAAATTATTTTCTCATTTTAATAATTGATATGTTTATGGATTGAAAACTAATATATCAACAAAACTAAAGTTTATGATTCGATTAAACATTTGATTATACGACTTTTGAAATTTGATACCGAAAATAAAACGGGAACTATAGCTATAATGGCTTTATGTTTATTTTCTACTACCATTTTGTAATAATGTATCACATGATGCAAATCTCATCGGATTCGATTCCACAACATGGGTTGCATTTAATAAATGATTGATAAAATAGCGTGATCAAATACACGCATAAAACAATGTTTCTTAAACATTACATGCAGTTGATACATGTGAGCTTCTTCTAACTTTATGCTCAATTTGACCATTAATTTCTTCAGGTTAACGTTAATGTCATGTGTTTAAAAAATCCATAATAACGGTTTAAATAAATGAAATCTATTTTGATTATGACCTAGTTAAATCAAATCCATTTTATTCAGTAAAGTCACCCTCAAAGTGTAATCTAAAAAAAAATAATTAAAATAAATGCCTACCTTTCGATCTATATATATATCACGACTTTGTAAATTTCTTTTATTATTGGAATGTATTACTATCTTGCAATTCATGTTTTGAAATTTTGAATTATTGACATCCGTGGACACTCAATTGAACCTTGGCAGATCAATCTGTTAGTTCAACGAGTCCTCATCTTATGATGTGAATCGTTATAGCGCTGGTTTTTACGATTTCCGATATTTTTCTGATATTGTGCTAGATTCTTACTAAATCAAATAAAAGTTATTTCTCTAAATTATAAAAGGGAATGTCGTGTGCCTCTTTGTAAGAAATCCGAAGGCTTTGGTTTGCACACCTCTAACTTTATCCCCGTCAGCTCTTTGTAGCGAGCGTTGTCATTGGGGACGAGGGTAAATGTTCATAGACAGTCATCTATGCTTTCCAATCGTGTTAGTTTACCCGCTAAGTTTTCATACTCAAAAAATTTTAACTTTCAAAAATTATGGGATCATGAAATGTTGGGGTGTTCCGTCACTATTTAAATCAAAACATATGTACGGTATCACAAAAAATTTATTATTAGAGATTTATTTTCGTATTAAGCTATGTTATACTCTGATTTAAACTACTTATTAAGGTTGTTATATTTTCTACCTTAACAACATTAGTTCCTTCTTGACATTCTCATCTCAAATTTCATAAATAATATTTAAAAAATCTCATTCTTTAAGTGACAATTCTTCTTTTTAAAAAAAAAAAATTTACAATTAACGATGGTAAAATAAACCTTCGTAATATATTTTAATACTAAAAAGGAACTTTTTTTCAAGAAAGTAAACTATTACGTTATTCTTTAAGCAATTTTAGTTTAAAACACGTTATTTAATTTTAAAAATTTAGGGTTTTTTTTTTACCGGAAAATGTAAATTCAAGCCATGCTTGTCAATTAAAAAAACCTCGTGAAATGAAAGTTAAAAAGATAGAAGCAAAATAAAAGTTAGATTTGAAAAATAATGTAAATAAAATTACGCAGGATTTAAACATTGGATGCAGAGAGAGCTAATTTTTTTTTTTTTGGTCTGGACAAAGCTCTTAATTGCGGAATAACCAGTGAAATAATGGACGAACTTTATAGAAAATTTTCCAAGAATCGGGTTTTGCTATTTTTTTAGTTTTTTTTTTAGTTTTTTTTTTAGTTTTTTTTTTTTTTTTTTATGTCTAACATTACTAACGCGTTTAACTTTAACTGAACAACGCACTTGATCGCACAATAATCAACGGAAGATTTATAGACGAACTTATAGGAAATATTCCATAGATCAGGTATGGTTTGCTATATTTTATTTAATTTTGTTTTTATATTTAATTTTTCTAATAGTTTACTTTAACTAGACAACACTTGGTCGTAGGATATTAATAGAATTATAGAGTGTTTTTGGATTATTGCATAAGATTATATAAGATTTTCATAAATTGTGTTTACTTTTTTTATTTTATTTTTATTTTGTTTATCCTTATATATGAAATTTTATGGACAGGTTCACCTTATTTTTTTTTGTTTTAGGTATCAATTTTACAAATACGTTTAATTTTATCTGAATAAACTTTTCTGATCCTGGAATATTC